TTTATAATAAAGATTTAAAAAGAAAGGGAAGGGGGGAAGCAATTGGACAAAAGTAACACATCCCCAGAGTTTGACAAAATATATCATATTCCAAATGTGGGAGCATTCTTACTGCAGGTTGATCTCATTATTCTCACGTATCATGCTTCTCTCCCCAACTCTATCGTATGATATTTCAGGGTAGGTATTTAAATTCTGAACTTCAAAAACGCCAAATATAATGAGCATTTCCTTACGTACACACACACACTCACACACACACACACACACACACATAGTAGAGCAGAAACAAAGGGTATTGATTGTACATGAAACTGCAAGTCTCTATTATGCTCACTTGGCTTTTCTTTTAAAATTGGCAAGTCTAGGATGGTATTTTCAAAGCTGCCTGGCCTTCCTTCTGGTCTCTCCCATGCCATAACATCCTACCTGGGCCCTGGCCCCAGAGTGTAGATCACAAAGCCTTTGCCCTCCACTCTGGGTTAGGACAGTCCTCGCCAGAGTACTAGACCTCACGGCCTCTTGAGTTCTGTTCCCACCCTTGGACACAATGTGGGAAGGGCAGACTGCTTGAATGTCACCCATGCCCACCATACCAGCTGCAGTTAGCTAAAGACTAAGATAATTTAGGAAGTCATCCAGCAGAGGAGAGAGCCAAAAAAGGGGTAACAATGTTAACTGCAGCCTAGGTATTTTTTTGGAAGATGCACTTGGTTGCTGGGTTTCTTTGAGGCTATTTCTGTCCTCAAATCAGTGACAAAATGGGTCAGTGCTCTGCTGGCCCAGAGAATTTGCTGGAATTCAGGCTGACTTGGCAGAAGACTGGTTTTGAAATTCTGTGCCTCCAGACTTTCTGGGAATTTCTTGCTTCTTCCCTGAGGTTGTTCTTTAACTACCTTGCTTCACAGCAGCAGGGACCTACGCCTGTCACTCATCTCAAGGGTGATACCCCCACTGAGCAAATTCTACTGTTAAGCCCCCAGATTCAAATGATGTTTCATGGTCACTATAGACCACCTCCACCCCTGGCAAGATCTTATCATCACTGATGGGGTAGGGTTTACCTTAGAAACAGACCTATGGAGACTTTCAGGGACCTTGGGAAGAGTCCCCTATCTTCCCCAATTCCTGAAACTCCACCATTAGAAATTCATTCCTTTGAATTAGATTTTATCAACCACTTTCCTAAGAGCAGGTTTTGACAGGAGAGGAGGGGACAGAGAAAGGTAGGCATTGGGACTGATGAATTAGGTTACTACCAAAAAATAAACTTGGCCAAGGGTCCACCATGTCATGAAGGGAGCCCTGTTCTGAGACTGAGGGTGATCCCAGTGGCATATAAAGAAACAGATGAATTAGGTAGCTAAACGATTGAAAAACACTGGGCAGCATCCAGGGGCTCAGCACCTAAAGTATAAGTTACCACTCCTTGTCCACCCATGAGGCAAGTGTCCTGTTGTAGTCTAGGGTGATAGGCCACGTTTCTAAATGCTTCTCGACAGGCCTGTGAAGAAGTGTGTTATATCCCCATTACACAGATGAGGAAATTGGGGTGACTGATGCTAAAAAAGTGTCAGAACCCAGGTGGTCTGACACAAGTCCAGGCTCTTTGCTACCTGTTTAGCTGAGGAACCCAGACCTCCCCGGATGTGTCCCCTTACCACACAACCATCTTCCTTCTCCTCTTCCCTGTTCTGTGGCGTTGCTGAAAGTTTGGACCCTGCCTCCAAACCCCCATCTGAGTCTCATTCCTATGTGGGGGTGGAATCCTGCCCTCTTTTAAGTGGCTCTGGGTATAAAATGGATTAATGATAGATAAACTAAGCCAGGCTAACTAGTTAGTGAGGCATTGGGCAGCTAGGAAGCACAGTGGATTCTGGAGTCAGGAAGACTCCTCTTCCTGAGTTCAAATCTGGCCTTAGACACTTACTAGCTGGGTGACCCTGGGCAAGTCACTTAAGTCTGTTGGCCTCAATTCATCATCTGTAAAAGGATATGCCAGTAGCCTTGCTAGGAAAACTCCAACAGGGATCACAGAGAGTCAGACATGACTGAAATGACTAAACAATAGTAACAGGTGGTCTAATAAGCAGTTAGGTATGAAAGAATGAATGTAGATTCCTATTATTAGGGTCTTGACAAAGTATAAAAAAAATGGATTCATTAAATTGACCCTTTGGATGACAGGTGAGATGCCTGAAGCCAGTTGGACAAAGAGGGTTTCTGAAACCAGGATTAAGGAGGGCAGTTTCTTTCTTTTTTTTTTTTAAGTGAGGCAATTGGGGGTAAGGGACTTGCCCAAGGTCACACAGCTAGTACGTGTCAATTGTTTGGTCTGAGGCTGGATTTGAACTCAGGTTCTCCTGACTTCAGGGTCGGTGCTCTATTCACCTAGCTGCCCCAGTTTCTTAATCATTCAGGTGTTTGCAGAATTCCATTTCACCAGGAGGATGGAGGTTGTGGCTGGAATCCCACAAGAAAGTCCAGAAGACCCACTAAAGGACATAGCTCAAAGTCAGTCATTTTGGGGATAATTGGAGTGAGAAATGTAAAAATCAGATGTTACTATAGTTGGGATTCAGAGCCCTCCACAATAGGGAACCACACTACCTTTCTAGCCTTTTCTTATCCTATTTTCCTCCAAAAACTCTTGCCTCAAGCAAAATAGGACTGTTGGTTTTCTTCAAATGAATCCTTCATGTTTTAGCAAGTTACCTGTACTTGGAATGTGTTCCTTCCCCTCACACGTCCCATGTTGAATTCCTACCCACCCACCCCTCAAAACCCACCCCAAATGCCCCAGCAAGCTGGGGCTGATGAGTCATAATTCATCATGGAGGTGTGTGTCTTTCTCCCTTGGAGAAATTCTGAACTTAAATTTTTTTTGTATCTTTTTGAATCTTTCTCATGCATTTATCATGTACAATAAGTTCTGCTATCATTACTATAGCTTTGAAAATGCTAATTTGTTCCAATTAGATGGATATATTAGGGAATGATTTGAGCATAATGTAAATTTTGTATTCGCTGATACATGATTTCACATTTGAAGATTTTACCCACCTGAACCTAGCCATACAGGAATACAAGACATATGCAAGTACCATTTACTTCTGTTCCCTCTGTGATATCCCAAAAGGCCATGTTTTGCCATTCATTTCATTTGTAAACTATTCTAGGTATATTAAAAAAAAAAACACTCATTCAATATCCCAAAGATGTTAAGTGCCATATTTATTGTGTATCTCCTGGTGTAGTAGCAGCTATGGGCAGAGGAGGGTTGGTGTGGACCCACATACTCCCCTGCCCCCCTCCCCCAATGGTGTCCTCTTCAAGTCCACAGGAGTGCAGGCTGAGGGACAGTCTGAGACCCCAGCCACCACCACTAGTTATTGTAATATTTATGTACTTAACCATTTAGCATGTCTAAAACCATGCTATCATTTTTATTTAGGTTTCTACCTTTTTAAAAATGCAACAGTGAAAAAGGTTTTGTGTGTTGTGCCCTGAAACCCTTTTTCCCATAAGCCCTATAGTTCTGTGAAGTTTTGCATGAAGGGGTGATGTTTAGGAATGCCCAAGCTGAACTACGGTAGAATCGCCTGGACTTGTGTGTCACACCTGACAGTTCCTGCCCCCGTTCTCAACTGTAAGCCTCACCAGGGCAGAGACTGCGTCTTATCCACTTCTGGATTTCCTCCCCTGCCCTGTGGTCCGCAGGGTTTATGATCATACACAAGGCACTTTTTGAACGGTGCCAGGTTCTCAAAGGCTGGGGAGAGGCGAGCCAAGAGAAACTGTATTACTCTTCAAACACATCTTCCCTCATCATGGCCAGGAATGTTTTCAATTTAAGAGAACATACAGGAAATGGTACAAGCCACAATAGGCTGTCCTAGAATGCCAGAGGGGCTTGCTTCTGCTAGAACGCTAAAAAATCAGGAGGCAGAATTGGCATGAAGGGCTAAATGGATGCAAATCTGGTCAACCACTGAACTTTTCTAGGAGGGAGTAAGAGTGACTAAACTGGGGTTGGGGACAGGAATGGCCAGGCTGGCCTGATGGAGCTCAGTGTGATGGGAAGGGGGATGGGGTGGCGGGAGCCAGGAGGCCCGGTGAGAGGCCTGGCTCAGCCACTAACTTGCTGGGTGACCTCAGGCAAGTGACTTAGTTTTTCTGGGCCAAGGTTTGCTCATGTGTGAAATGATACTGAGCTAGACCATCACTTCTTAAAATGGGGGTCCCTGAGGCCCTTCAAGGTCAAAACATTTTCATAATAATTCTAAAACGTCTTAATTTCAAGTACAGCCAATATCCGTAGCTATAACCTACACAAGCAAATGTTCTTTGGGGTTCTCCATACTTTTTAAGATTGTAAAATGGTCCTGAGACCAAACAGTTTGAGAAACGATCTCCTAAGTCCACTCTATGCCTAAACTCTGTGATTCTATATTCCATTTCACTAAAACAAAAACAAATGTAACACTGCAGGTTGATTCCCCTGTTCCAATGTGCCTTTCATACCGGGGCTTTATTTATTTACGCAGGGACTGAGACAGGGCTCAGGTAGCATGGAGAGGCTACGCCATAGTCTTGGGAAAGGGTCAACAGCTCCCCACCCTCTGTGTCCACAGGACCAGACTGCCAGTGAGGGCGGTCCCCAAGTACCACGTCATTTCGTGTGCTTGGAAGTTGGATCTATGATCTGTGTGGCAAGAATGGTGATTTTGGGTGGGAGAATTTCCTGTTCATGTTTCTTGAGGTAGAAAGCATTTCATTAAGCAAGAGTCGTTTAATCCAGGGCTTCTTAAACTTTTTCCCACTTGCAACCCCTTTTCCCACTTGCAACCCCTTTTCCCACTTCAGCAGCATTCCCTGGTGTTGTGTGACCTGAGGGCATGTGCGGTGAAAAGTGCACATGCTTTGTGTTCAGAACCAAGGCTACAATGAAGTTGTCCAATGCAGGGCGGGCAAGTGCTGCCAGAAACACCTCAGATTCATCATGTGTTTGAGTTTTAATTAATTTGTGGTTGCTGCACATTCAGAAACCTCTTACCGTTGCCCAGTTTTTGGCCACCCCATATGGGATTTAAGAATCAACCTCCGCTTCCCTGCTCAGGAACCTCCTCCTTACCAGCTGCGGCCAAATAACAGAGGAACGAAGGACTAAATCCAAAGCATTCGGGGAAGGGTACAACTATATTGTGAAGGGAAGACATCACTTATGTACAACAGCATGTAAAATTAGAATATTTTTAATATGAACACTTCCTGAATGCGGCTGAATTCTGATCAGTATTCTTCACTTGAGAACATTTTGAACTATGTCTATCTGACTTTAGCCTACGTCATTTACACTTTCAGACCTGGAAAACACATTGTAAATTAAGTCTAAACATGGGAAAAAATAATCCTACACTGCTCCATATATTCTCTTAAAAAACAACAAAGCGAAAACAAAACACCAAACCTTAACCCAGACTGACAGAAACCTAAGCAAGAAAGGAATTCAGAAAGGTCATTTGAAATAAAGGATAACTCAAAGCTATCATTGCCACCTGGGGAAGAAAAGTAGCCTTCCATACAAAATGAAGCAGCATTACCTGGAAAAAACAAGGCATTTTCATAAAATCATTTTTAGAAAATGTTAAGAGAAGTTACTTCTCCTCGTTTTAAAGTGCCGGACACCAGGCCGAACACCTTCAGGCGCCTCCCATCAGAAGCCCAGGATGGACTCATCCCACAACATCTCCTCCTCTGTCTGCCTGGGCAGGGGCTGCTGCTTCTCCTTCCGGTGTCTGCGGTCTTCTTTGTCGGCTGCTACGTCCTGGTGTCTCCTCTCTCTCCTATGCTTTGGCTTTCCTACGCTGCTGGCATCTGCCTCTGCCTTCCTCCTTCGGATGGCCTTGTGGTCTTTGCCCGGGTCTTTGTCCTCCATGTTTTTCTTCCTCTTCTTTTCCCCGTTCGGTCGGTCTTCTCTCTCCTCCCTGGGATTTCTTTTCTTCCTCTGGTGAGTCACTCTTGGCTTACGGCTCGCTCGGCAGGAATCAGTGCTGTTGTCAGAGGAGACGCCGGATGGGCCCGAGTCATCCTCCTGCTGCGTGGGCCCCAGGGCCGCTAATTTTTCCGAGAACTCTTCCTTGTTGGGCTGGCAGTGGCCAGGAGATTCCAGCCTGAACCTGCTGTTGTGGCCTGGTGACCAACGGTGCAATGTGTTCTCAACCGCTCGAGTGAGGGCACACGTTCCTTGGCAGGCCTGGAAAGTCTCGGGTGGGAGTCTCCGCTCAAATGCCTCCAGGACACTGTGGGGCTGGGCAGCAAGCTCCTCCTTGTACTGGCCCATCTCAAAGTGCTCCTCCGCCATCTTCCTGAAGTAAGTCTTGGGCTCCAGCCCACGAGCTTTCTGCACCTGGATGTACTCAGCCAGCTCATCTTGGAAAGAGTGAAAGGCTCTTTTCGAATTTTTCATCAGGTTAACAACCAGAGATTCTCTGAGGGAAAGAAGAGGGAGAAAGGTTTTGTTATTGGGTTGCTTTGTTTAGAACATGTCCTTTCAAAAGTTCACTAGGCTCAAGGAAACAGTGGGAGCCAATGGGACACAGCTGGATTTGGAGACAAAGGACCTGGGTTTGAATTCCAGCTTTGCTGGTTACCCTGTGGCCCTGGGCACATCACTTCCCTTTCCTCAGCCTCAGTTTCCTGATTTGTAAAAAGAGAGGGTCGGCTAGATGATCTTCAAGTTCCCTCCCAGCTCTAAAGCCTGAGTTCCTCAACTGAGATATAAAATCCAGAAAACAGGCCCGATCCCGCTTGCAGAAGATGCCCCCAGTGTCTCCAGGTCACTCACAAATCAATTTGACCCAGACCCCAGAGTGCCCACTTTGGGCTCTCTTCCCCAATCTCTGCTTAGGAGACACAACTGATGCCAGGATGTTCTGGGCCACAGGGAGAAGGTGGTGGAGATGGCGAGGTCTAGCCTCAGTCATGTCCTGAGGGCTCAGATCACTGTCAAAGGTTTGGTTCTTGGGCCTCTGAAGACAGACCTGAGAAAAGGGTCCTATAAATTCCTATGGGGACATCCTGTGGAGCGAAGCGCAAGGAATTTTGTTTTTGAAAATTTTAGTTTACGAAGTTAAATAAGAATAACATGCGTACTTACAGAAAAGGAACTTGGGGTCATCTCATCCTGTCTGTTATCTGAAGTGCCCACCTCCTCTAAAACATTCCCACAAATCTGCCTTTGCCTGAACATCTCCAGTGATAGGGAACTCATTACATCAAAAGGCAGCCCCGCCCCCTTTTCCTCTGCTGTACCCCCTGCGATGTACACCTCCTCTGTTCCCACTCTGAGGGCCAAGCAGACTGAGTGTTAGCCCCTGTCAACAACAATCTTATAAATGTCTGAAGATGGCATCACGATCCCCCTAAGTCTTTTCTTCTGAGGGTTAAATTCCCTGACTTTCTTCTTATTATGTGATTTCAAGTCCCCTTATGATACAGGTCATTTTTCTTTGGATAAAACAGTACTCATCAAGGTTTGTAAAATGTGCGCAGAGATAGACATCACACACCTGCCCAGGACAAAGACCAGTGCAAGGACCTCTCCCCCTCCTTTGTGGCTGTCTTTCTCAGGATGAGGCTCAAGGCCGCCTTCCCTCCTGGGATGCCAAGCTATACCACAACATACCACACCATACCCCTCACACTGAGCTTGTGGGCCACCAAGCCCCCCCGGGGCTTTTTCCTACAAAATGCCTGGCTGTATCTCCCCTCTCCCCTTGTGCAGTTTCTGTTCACCATTCCAGTGTTGAGATCTTTTTGGATTCTGAGTCAATCAGCTTTGGATCACCTTACCAATAGGAGCTGACTGTGTAGCTCAATTAAAGCACACCCATACACTGGCTGAAATAACAAACATCTGGAGGGTAGGTAAAAAAATGTCCCTCCATACACGACTTGAGGTGGGATGGAAAGATATTCTAGATCTCCTTGTAAGGGTTTTAATTTGTTTCACCTTCTGTGAACCAGGTGAAACCCAAAGTACTCAGCAGCCTTCTCAGCCTTGTTCTTACTCTGTCAGAGGGCTGGGACCGCACGGTGACAAGGCCAAGGAAAGGGGCTGTGGAACTGACAAGTTTCATAAGAAATCTGAATGAGGGCACAGCACAAAGAGGGAAGGAATGTAGATTCACCCTGAGAGGTCAAGGATCTTAATGCCCACAGGAAGGCAGCAGAAGCTCCCAGCACAGCCAGCCTGAGGGACTGGCCTGTCGAAGCGCTCCAGAGCCACTGAGCATTCCTGAGTGGAGATGACTCATTCTGAGGCCTCCAAAAGAGACACAGGAACTGCGGACAAGACCAAGGCAGCCTGCCAAAAAATTTAGCTCCCAAATTTAAAAAAAATCAGAAAAGACAAATTTCCTAATTAAAAAAAAATGAAAACAGAAATACTGTATTTTGATTTAACCACCACCACTGCAATACCCAAACCCTCCTGGTGCTGACTCCCCTGAACAAAAAGAAGGCCCCGGCCCAAGTCAGGCGACCAGCCCCAGCCCCGTGGCCCAGCCTGGCTGAGCTGGTGAGCGGCTGCAGTTGGCAGCCGGCCTTCCGGCCCAGCCTGAGATGTTCTGGAAGCATCTTTCTAGAGGCCACTGGGATGCAGGGAAGCCAGGATGAAGAGCCTCAGGTGTCTGGGGTCTGCTCGTGCAGAAGGAGCATTTGCGGGCACACACCAATGCACAGAGGCTCCAGTCACCCGGGTCACAGGGGCATCGTCACAGAATTACTTACTTAATCTGATGTTTATTTCCTTGCATGTGGGACTGGTACATTTCTATAGATGTAAGGGTGATACTACAAATGGGACAGATGTAGTTACCCACACCAAGTGCTGAAAGAACACAGAATTCAGGTTAATGTCAGTATGCAGAGACGTCAAAAAAAACCCCACTTATTTGATCCCATGATGAGGGACCACTACCATGAGCCAGGCTGCCTAAAGTCGCTCCCACGGATAGGCCAGCTCTGCCCTCAACAGCTCTCAGCCTGTTTCCCCCTTCTATGATGCTCTCTTGCTCTCCTTTCCCAAGCCCTCAGCTGAATCCAGTAAGATCATCATCCTCTCAGGCACAGCTTGTGGGCAATGGACGTGGCTGAGCTCGAGATCGCCTCCTGGACATCCCCGAGCTCAGGACAAGACAACCTGCTTTCAGTCTCTTAGGGATGCCCCAAAGATGATGAAGAAGATAAAGATGATGGTGATGATGAGACTAAGAAAGGAATCCTAGGCTGAGCACTGGCTCCGGCAGGGAAGGGGGTCTATCAGCTGCTCCACCTCCCTGCTCTGCCACGGCCAGCTCAGACCGCAGAACAGCCTGGAATCTAACGAGACCCCTGACTTCTGCTGCCTTTTCCTCTAAGCTGGCACCTCCTCCTTCTTCTATTTTCTCTCTACCTAATATGATGGTCTTTTTAGCTTGTCCCTTTTCCCTCATGCTTTATTTCCCAGCTCCACCCCCTACCAAACCAGAACCTGAAACATTCCCAAAAAAGTTTAAAAAATACATAATGCATAACTGTTATAAATTCATGGGTCCTTGGATCCCCGTCTTTCGTCAGTTCTTTCTGGCAGGCAGAACTTTAAGTCCAAGTACTCAATCAAGACAAGGGGACTGAATCCTGAATCCTGTGGCCCCTCCCCCGCAAGACTTTCATACCCAAAGTCCCAAATAGTGCGCTCATCCCTCCAGTTAACAGGCTCTCACATCAGCCCTCTATGATGGCCCACGCTGTAGTGGAAGCAGGCTGGACAGTCCAGAGGCCTGGGGTCTGCTCACAGCTGCCATCAGCCAGCTGGAACTTGGATAGCTGCTTACCCTCATGGCCCCAGCTCCCTCATTTGTACAACGAGGGTCCCTAAGGTCCTCAAAGCATTACAGCCCTCCAGTGGGTTTTAACAAGATTACTCAGGAACACAGGAACTGTTTAATTATATTTGTTGACTCCCAAGGGGCAAAATCTTCTTTTAAATGGAGGAGGGGGAGCCCAGCCAGAACCTAAAGTGTGACCCTAATCAACCAGCCACATATTGAAATAGTAACTTGTAAGAGAGTTCATCAAGAGACGATGAAGCTGATGAGCCATGCCCGCCGACCTCGTCAAGAGGATGGAGTCTCAGTGACTGGGAGTTGCCCCAAGATGAATTATTTGGTTGAAGCAGCTTCCTAGTGGGGGCGGAGAGGGAAAGACAGGGAAGAGGACTCAAGCATTTATGAAGTTCCTACTAAGCGCCAGGCACTGTACTAAGCACTTTACAAACACCATCTCCTTTGATACTACCAACAGCCTTGGGAGATGGGTACTGTTATTACCCTCATTTTGTAGTTGAGGAAATTGAGGCAGACAGAGGTGAAGTGACTTGGAACTCAGGTCTTCCTGACTCCAGCCCCGTGCTTTGGTTAGCATTACATCCAATGCGCCACCAACTCCCTCTTAGAGGCTGGACTCCAGACCCAATCTTGGGTGCCAAGAGGCGCCAAGGGGCAGAACTGTCCCAAGATGAAATAATTGCCTTGGACTGTTGGCAGGAAGCACTGTTGAGGCAGAACCATCGTCTTTACAATGGCCCATAAAAGCAAACTGATACACCTCACGCCTTCTTTCCGACTTTCTCCTTCTGCCATGTTTTGGGAGGATGGTTCCTGAGAGAGCCACAGGTTGGGGGTGGGATGGGGTGGGCTGTGGAAAGGCAGGATTTCTTTGCCTCCCCCAGGAACTATTAACCAGGTCAGGCGACTGCATGTTCCTGCTCCTAGCCAGGGGCAGCTAGGTGGCGCAGTGGATACAGCACCAGCCCTGGACTCAGGAGGGCACAAGTTCAAATCCGACTTCAGACACATAACACTTACTAGCTTTATGACCCTGGGCAAGTCACTTAACCCCACCGCCTAGCCAAAAAAAAAAAAATAATAAAGTTTCTGGCCTGAGTGAATACAACAATGGTGGCCCCACCCACAGAGTGGGAGGTTTGGGAAAGAAAACGAATTCAGTTAATGCTGAATTTGTGATGACAGCAGGGCATTAAAGAGGAAATGTAAGGAAGGAGCTGGAGCTAAGAGAAAAGAGCGCAGGTGAGACTAAACACAACAAAAAACACAAACACATTCTGCACATTTAATTTCTCTGTGATGGCCACTTCAAGAAGACAGATGGAGAAGAAAGAAAAAAGGGAAAAGAGAGCGATGGACAGCGGGAGAAGTGAAGACAGAAGTGTTCACTGACCGATGAGGAGAGAGGAAAGGCAGGCATGGTCTGGCACAGTGAAGGTCTGACAGGTCTGAAGGGAGTATATTAGCAAACACATCTTCCATCTTTGTTCTCACGAGGTCTCTGGGTTCTGAGGAAGTGACACCTTCTGCTCTGAGATCTGGCCAAGGCTCCCAAAAGCTCCTTCCCCGATGGGGCGTCAATTCATCAGCACAAACCTGTCTCACAAAACTTGGAGTTGTTCATTCCAAAGCGTCTCAGGGCTGGTAACTCGAGAGATCTCCTAGCAGGGCCTTTCTAAAGGAGGCACGCTTGATGTCTTCGTCTTTGGACAGAAAAGTTTTGTACACAAATGGCAAATAGAGAATTAATACCCAAGCTCAGTAACGTGATAGTAAGAGAGCACTTGACTGTCCTGGATGAACTTGAACACCAGGTCCAGATGAACCACATTTCTGGAACTGAAAGAACTCGAGAATGTGGTTGTCAAGCCAGTCTTGATCATGGAGAATGGGGAGGGATGCCAAGGGACTGGAGACTGGCAAATATTTCCTTTTTTTTTAAAAAAGGTAAGAGAATAGAGTCTGCAACCAAACGCCAGTGAGCTTCAATTCCTGGGAGACATGTGGCTTAGTTCAATTACTGGATGAATGGTCAGAGATGCTAGTGGTTTAGTGATCATGTAGCAGGAGGTCTTTGGTGAAGTGCCCTAGGGATCTGTGCTCTTCAACATTTTTATCAGTGACATGGATAAAAGCATAAATGGTACGCTCATTAAATCTGCAGATGACACAAAGTTGGGAGGGATGACAAACATAATGGATGACAGTGAGGACAGACCATTGGGCAGAATCTCCTAAGATGAAACTGAATACAGATAAAGGGAAACTCATACGCTTGGGTAGAAAAAAATCAATGCCCAAGTATAAAACGGAGGAGGAAGAGTTAGTAGTTTGTGTGAGAAAGATCTGGGGGTTTTTGTATATAGCAAATCCAAGATGAATCCAGCACGCTGTATGACAGCCCCCAAAGCTAAGGTGGTCTTAGGCCGCAAAAGAGAGGCAGAGCTTTAAGGATGAAGGGGGTGATCATCCCACTGTATCTACCCAGTCAGACCATACCTGTTGTACTGTGCTTGGTTCTGGGGCTATGGATTAGGAAAGATACAGATAAGCTGCAGAGAACAAAGAGGGGACAAGGGGGATGGTGAAGGGTCTTGAGCTCATATCAAATGAGGAGAGGCTGAAGAAACTGGGGATATTTAGCTTAGAGAAAACTGTCTGAAAGACCATCATGTGAAAGGTAGATGAAATTTGCCCAGTTGGCTCTAGAAACAACAGGGGGAAACTGCAAAGAAGACAATTTAGGGTTGATATGAGGAAGACTTTCCTAACAATCCCATGGGTGGGATAAGCTGCCTCCATGAGGCCTGGGCCCTCTTTATTGGAGGTCTTCAAGCAGGAATCTTCTGAGCATTTGTAGGGTACACTGCAGTGAGGACTCTTTTTCAGGTATGGGTTGGACTACACAGCCAATGAATTTCCTTAAAACTCTCAACTTTGGAGATATCTCCAAAATTCTACGTTAGCTCACAAAACCCTACTACGCCTTTAGGGTTTAGCTAAACCAACTTCCCTGAAGACAAGAGCTATTCAACAAATCCATTTTGGTTGAGTGAATGGGGGGGGGAGAAGGTGGGTGACAAGAATACGGAAGGGAAGATACAATGCATAAGTGGGAAGGACAAAGCAGAGTGAATAAAAGAGCAGGTTGTGAGAAAACTGACCAAGTGTCTCCTTGACATCCCTGGCATGTTCTAAGCTCGTTCTTGCCTCAGTACCTTTGCTCATAATGTCCCCAGCGCCTGAGATGTCTGACTGTCCTACCGGGCCTCTCCCAAGAGTTCACATCCTCCATGAAGTCAATCCTTCCTGCCTGCAGCCCCTTATAAAGATTGTTCGCTTCTCTGGATCCCTGTCTGGGACAACCTGGCACCTGATCATCTGTCCCACACTGTCCTTTTGGGTAAATCTGGTCGATGTACTCAGTCGATAGTTTCCTGAGGGCAGAAGAAGCTGCATCTGCTTGGTGTCCCTGAAACACCAACATAGTGGTGGGTACAAAGTAGGGGCTTTCTACATAAGGGTCAGGAATTTAGAGTTGAGAGGCGCCTTAAAAGTCTCCAACCCTCTCATTCTACAAGTGAGGATACTCAAGTCCCAGAGAAATTAAATGCCTTGCCCCAGGTGCCATAGAAGCTAAATTTGAACCCAGGACCTCTGGCTCCAAATCTAATGCTTTTTCCAATGCACTACGTCATCGTTCCTAGACTACATGGGCTTCTCCTGCAGATGAGCAGCAGGGCACATGCATCTGCAGACGTTTGCTACCGGATACCTCCGGGGTAACCCTCCTACTCACCACTGCTCGTGGACTGGGCGGGGAGGGTCTTCTGCCCGATCTCTTCCAGGATCTTCTTCCGGGCCTCGTTTCTCTTGTGCTTCTTGCCCAGGTAGTGCTGCTGGGCCATGAGCGGGCTGTTAAAGGAGGCACAGCACAGCTCGCAGTATCTGTCTGCATAGTTCAGATCCAAAGTGGGGCCGCCACAGGACATGGGGGTTTCTTCCATCGCCGCTTCTGGGGCATCTCGGTCACATGCGGGCTGCTGTGGCTCTGGCCCGGCACAGCTAGCAACGGGAAGACCTGATGAGAGAAGGACAGCCTTCTAATGTCTAGACACAGCTACAGAAAATAGGATAAAACAGAATTTTAACAGAACGTTTGTTCATGTAACGTGTTTAAAACATTCAAAACATTTCTATATCAAGGGAACTCTTCAAAAATCTGCTATCCTCAGTATGTCCACTCAAAGCCACTGAGTGGGATTAGTAAGATCAGAGTAAATGTGCATGTTTACCCACATGTGTGCACGTTGGAATCCAAACCTGGTCGCCACGTTTTTCTGTACAGAAAGGCTTCCAAAATCTTGGTATACAAAAAAATTAGAGAAAGCTAAGCTCAGCATGGTAAGCTGACCACTGTGACAGTTTCTTCTTGGCTTACTCTGGATGGCCAAGGAATCAGAGTCTATCTGGAAGAACACATTATGTCACTAATTCAATCATGGCTGGTTCTCTGTTTACTTGGGGGTGAAAGCCAAGCAATTTTTTAATACCACTCAAACTATGTATTCCCAGCCCCATGTTATTTCAAAGTTCTTTTCACCTACTCCACTGAGGTTGGCTCATTCAGCCTAGAGGACTGAGGTTAGGGCATCCTAATTCTTATGGGAGATTATACTTCTGTTCCTCTTTGGGCTGGCTTGCAATACACTCTAAGAGAACTGGTCTGCTATCTCATGATTGCTAAAACTGACCCTAATGAAAAATCCATTTTAAGCATAATACACATGCTAAAATTAATCATGAATTTTGTACAACCTAAAATATATATTTTGGAAGACTGTTATAAATATTTGGTACTCTGACATCATGCTGATGGTATACAAAGCTTTTCATGGCACTGGTTTCAGCATGTGATATTGGTACAATAATGCCTTGGCAAAAATGGAGTATGCTACATTGGTGAACAGTTCATACTGGGAAATGAATTCCCTTCCTCCAAAGAAAGGCAATCAGAAAGAGAGTGGTGGATTACTTGCTATCTTTATAACAGGACACAAGTCTCTGATTCTGCTCCATTTCAAAACCTGGGCTGGATTTCCCAGGTCTGGATGGGTTTCCAGATTTCCACCCACTTTTAGAATAAATGTTCCCATTTTCTCTTGGGTTCTCTTGGGCAGGTTCTCACGATATATTTCACATGTTCTGTCTCCCCAACTAGACTATGAAGCCCTTAATAAGCATTGTTCATAATGACATGCCTCTTCTGGATCTTTACAGGGAGATGGGGAGCTCTCTGTTAGCTGGATAGAAGGAAATCTACCCAGGCTATGCTATGGCCATACTATTTTGTAGTAAGGATACTGGTTGAGTATTGTATGAAGCAAAGGAAGGTGGAGAAAAGGAAAAGAACTGAGATTAACAACAGAGAAGGGGAGAGATTGATAGTCAGCTGGGTAATACTTTATGATTTAATTTTGATCTGCTGTTTAAATTAGAAGCACGGAGAAAAGGAGCATGGCAGGAGGTAGGCAGCTTGTTTTTTGTTTTTTGTTTTTCTTTTTTTGGCTAGGCAATGGGGTTAAGTGACTTGCCCAGGTTCACACAGCTAGTAAGTGTTATGTGTCTGAGGCCAGATTTGAACTCAGGTGCTCTTGAATCCAGGGCTGATGCTCTATCCACTGCGCCACCTAGCTGCCCCCCACTGCGCCACCTAGCTGCCCCAGGCAGCTTGTTGTTGCAAGCAGCCAGGCGGAGCAGAGCTAGTTCACCCGTTTTTATTTGGCTTTATTCAAATAAGAGGCCTAGGATGAAAAGGGAGGTCAAGTCTAATGGGCAGTCATGCTCTCCAAGTTCAACGTTAGGGACACAGAATGAAAGTAAAGAATTAGGAGTGGGGCAGCTAGGTGGTGCAGTGGATAGAGCACTACCCTAGAGTCAGGAGGACCTGAGTTCAAATCTGGCCTCAGACACATAACGCTTATTAGCTGTGTGACCCTGGGCAAGTCACTTAACCCCATTGTCTAGCCAAAAAAAAAAAAAAAAAGAATTAGGAGTGGAGCAATGAGTCGTTTCAAAAAGATACTTCCCCACGGGGACGCTTCAGAACCAAAGATGGAGGATGGACTTTGGAAAATGACAGTTCGAGAGCACAGGGAGTACGGAAGATAAAGAGGTGAATGGAACCTTACCCTTGTCTGGCTGAGAGCTTGGTGGAGACGTCTGAGCATGTTCTCCCATTAAGTGCTTCAACTTTTTGGCATGAACTTTCCCCAAATAGTGAGACTGAGCAACAACTGGGGAACTAAAAACCATGCTGCAGAGATCACAACACTTGTTTCTGTCCACCACTCCACTCCCACACGTCTGAAACCAAGCGCAGTCTCAATTACAAAGATTCAACGACTTGGGGCCTGTTTAACATCACAACAGCATCGTGGGCACTCACCTGCCCGCTCACAAAGTCCAGCTGCCCTCTTGTATCAGTGCCCTGGGCTTCACTTTGTTCCCCATGAATTTGGAAATAAAGTCTAACCTTTTGAGCGTGCTTCTTGCCCTGGGAAAAGAGATGACAGAACTCAGTGAAAAAGCAAAACCTGCCCGGGGCCTTGACCGGGGCAGGGCTCAGGAGCAGGGCAGAGCTGGCCGGGAGCCTCTCGCTGGCTTTCCAGTCTCCACCTCTTCATTAAACAAAGCCCCCGCACCCAGTTCAGAAGCTAGCGGTTCTCGATGACCAGCTCGTCCAAACGGAACCGACAAGAACAACCGTAACGGCACAGTACCCCACAACCCAACACGGAAACGTTTCTCAGGGTTGGATTTGGGACTTGTTTTCAAGCCAGTGGAAAATCTGGCATTGTTTCTCTGTAACTCAGTGACATTCCACTCCTCTTGGAGCCTCACTCCAGCCCCGGACAGTCCCTCTACCTGGTGGCCCTTCCCTCTGGCTGGCTGGCTCCTTGGCCTCCAATGAAGGGGATACCCTGGCTGGCCAAGGCCTCATTCCTCTCCAGGCGACTTTCTCTCCCATTCCCTTACTCCCCTTCTTTTTAGTTCCCTTTTACATGTGGTCTTCCTCCATCTGAATGGAAGTTCTTTGAGGGCAGGGACCATCTGTCTTTCTGCTTGTACTTGTAATCCCAGCCCTTAGCACAGAGGTTGGGACATGGTCTGAATACCCAAAACCAAAACATCTTCAATAACAACAACAACGAAACTGGCCTAAGCTAACCTTTGGCCTAAATACAGCTGAATGAAGCAGACGCTACATGCTTTTGTAGAGCATGCAGTAGCGTTTTCCGTCCACCAAAAGCGGGGCACAGGATCCCACCTGGCAGAAATGGAAGGCAGCCAGCACATGCTCTGGGTTACGTGATGTGGACCTCGCCAGGGTGCTGGTCTCCCTTGCTGGCTCCATATACCTCTTCACAAACATGTTTGTAAACAGGGTAATGACTTGAGATCATCATGAAATAGGAATAACTAGAGTTGGAGTTTCATCGCTGTCACTCCCTGGCTGGCCATGCCATGGTTCTGGGCAAGACACGTGACCTTTGTGGAACTCAGTTTCCTCATCTATAAGGTGAATGGGTTGAACTGGTTCCTTCCCTCTCTGTCTGAGTGTAAAGTCAGAGCCCTAAATCGGGCACTCCACTTTAACTTCTCTTATGTTTGGTGGCCTCACCCTAAGAAGCCTCAGATCATGTCTGTGAGTCTACCATCCAATGATCAAGCTAAGAGTTTCCCCTGAGGTTCCTAACTTCTTGCCTCTGTTTTTTCCAGGGACATAAGGATATGATGGCTTGAAATACCATGGAAATAAAAAAAAAACCCAACCTAGTTTAGGACGTAATTCCTCTTTGTTTTCAGCTTACCTCATAATGCGAAATCCTTTGGGATTCAAACTGTAGCATCGCACCACAAACTTTACAAAAGTTGTCTGTAAAAAGTTCATTCCTTTTATGTTCATCCAGAATGGTATCTATAAACACAAAAGGGAAGGGAGGGGGGAGTAAAGCAGGGCATCCTGGGAACAGACCAGGGAGGTTTCTTCTCTTTCCCTACTAGCTGCTACAGACTCCCTCAACTCAACTCAAAAACAAACAAACAAACAAACCCAAAACCAAAGCTACACAAAGGTTTTTCTTTAAAAAAAAAAAAAAAGGTAGATTTTGTTGTCTGCTTACAAGGCTACTGGCACACTTTATAAATCTCTTAATACCAGGAGGCAAACTGCTAAAGAAAGGGCAAGGGAAAGCCATGGGTACACTAATAGGTGGCAGGAGGTTATGGATCTGACCTCTGGGTCTCTGTATTGAAAAGTTATCACAAAGGCTGGCTCTGTTACCTAATCCACATGGCTCCCTAAACCCCACCTCACGCCCACTAGTACCCTCTATACAAGTGTGGACCGTGCTTTTACTTCTACCCTCACGTAAGAAAACTGGCACATTGGAGTTGAATAGCAAAGAACAATTGAAGATTTGTATTCTCAGGCAATAATTCTGTCCTGGGCTCAGAAAACTGGGCGTGAATGTTTGTGTTTCCCGGCAGATGACCAAACTAAATGCAAACAATATGTTTTAAGGCAGTCACAGAGTTCCAGGTACTCCACCACCCATTACCTGAGAATCACGAGGAACCACAAACCTACTTTAAGAAAGGTGGGCACACATCCTCTGTAGCTGGCACAAACATGATACCACCCCCATGTCACAAACCATTTTTCCCACATGAATATCAAAGCTACAAAGTACAGTTCATTTTTAAGACGTGCAAGTTATACTGCAAGATATCTCACTGTGTTGGCAGCTAGGTGGCACAGTGGATAGAGCACTGCCCCGGAGTCAGGAGGACCTGAGTTCAAATCCGACCTCAGACACATAACACTCATTAGCTGTGTGACTCTGGGCAAGTCACTTAACCCCAGCTGCCTCACCAAAAAAAAAAAAAAAAAAAAAAAAAAGATATCTCATTGTGGATTGTCATAACTTACCTAGATGAAAATCTGAGGACTTATCTTTGGCATCTACATTCCCACTCTTAGCTCTAATAGCTAAAATCTATCTTGTGAGAATTTGCCAGCACAAGTCTGAGATATAAATTACTCAAAGTCTTCTGTAACATACTATAAATACTTTGGTGTGGGGGGTAGGAGAAATGATGCTGGGTTTGGAGCCTGGCTTTGCCACTTACTATCTGTGCAACTGTGGGCAAGTCCCTTATCTTCCCTGTGCCTCAGTTTCTTTATCTGTACAATGAGTAGTTCAGACCAGGTGGCGTCCGAGGTCCCCTTAGCTCTAAATTGATGATGATTCTATTGCTATTTGACAAATACTTACTGCCCACTCACTATGTGCAAGGCCTTGTACGAGGTGTTATTGGGAATACAGAGAATAAGATATGGCCTGTAATCTCAAGGAACTTGTAGCCTAATAGGAAGGTGAGATGTGTAACCAATCCCTGTAATGTAAGGTAGAAGGTGAAGCAAGAAAAATGCTCTGAGAGTTTAGAAGACGAGGAGATTACTTCTGGAAGGGGGATCCAGGGAGGCTCCATGGAGCAGACAGCATTTGGACCTGGTCTTGAAGGAGCAGTAAGAAGTAGCCTGGAGAAGCTGGGGGGAAAGACGTGTGGGGGAAGGCCCTCCAAGCACAGGGAATGCTTTTAGGACATGTTCACACAAGCTATGTTTTACAGCATCACTCAGTGGAGGAGAGGTTCACTTGATAAATCCCCAAAGTTTGAGTCCAGCATACTATACCTATCAGAGCTATATTAGAAATCATTTAATAAGCTGTTCTGATTCTTTCCTGGTGCTATAGTGGCACCTTTGATTTACTTTGAACAGCCCTCTAAAAACATATGAGGAAGGAGCACCCAATCAGGAGTCAGGAGACCTGGGTTCTAGGCCCTGCTACACCAATACCTCTGTGTCACCATGGACAAGTCATCACTGTGCATCTCTGGGCTTCCACACCTTAAAAAGGTGGGGTTTGATGGGACAATCTCTAATTATCTTCCACCTCTGCTATTCTAGGAATGATCCTATCACTGTCTCTGCAGACAGCCAACTGAAAGGCAGGCCAGAATGGTAACTCCTATTTCAGATCTTCTCCAGTGTCAGGTGAAGAAGTGAAACTTGATTTGCCCTGGAGGGCACAGACTTCAAAGTTCATTGAAAACTCTCTATCTAAAAGAGGTAAATACCTCCCCCTGGTGACTCTCAACACTTACTGCAGAAGTAAATATTTAGAAACATGTTCATGGAAATCCAAAGGAAAGAATCAGCTTTTGAGAGGCTTGAGAGAAACTAGGACTGAATGCTAAGTAGTCATCAGCCAACGGACTGGGCAGGACCAAATGGGCCAGCGCTGGGGAGGGAAGGGGCGCTGGCTGTGGACCTGGTTCCCAGGCTTGGATCCTGCCTTTAGCAGCGTGTGACACCGGGCACGTCACTTATCCTTGCCAGCCTGTTTTCTCACCTCATGAGAGGTCTATGAACCCCAAATAACTACAAATCACGTTTTTACAGGTGAGAAGGCTGAAGCCTGGAGGTAAGTGAATTATCCCAGAAAACACAGTCCCAACCCAGCGTGCTCTCTATTACACCATGCTGCCTCATCTTCCCCCAGCCAAAGGCAGTTCCCTTTAGGGGCTTTCCTCTCTCTGTAAAATGTACAGTCATCATCTCTGGCTGGCAGAGCCATCCTTGACAACCCTCCTCCCCCACATCCTAACAATTTTTCATAGAGAGGCAGTGGAGCCTGGGAGTTGGGCAGACCTGGATGGATGTGATGTATCTGACACTTTATGTGGCCTTGGACGAGGGGTGGGTGGGGGGAGGTGACATGGTCAGACCTGAACCTTAGGTAAGGTGACCCTTAACCTCTAGGTATCTCACCGAACAAGCTGGGACTCACCCCCGATTCCACTGAGTGGGAAGTCTAGGCATCCTTCTCCTCCCAAGCATTTCCATTTGTATGACATCACCACACATTGTAATAGCTCCCATGCCCACCTACCCTCTCTTCTGTCTACGCCTCCCCCAGCCACTCCTGCCATGTTCACCTGACTGAACTACTGCCCTGCACATGGCACTTCCACTGCCCAGAGAGCATCAGTGATTTCCTACTGCTCACAGATAAAGCCTAAATGCCTTACTTGGGCATTCAAGGCCTTTACTCTTCCTTCCTCAGTCAGTCAAGTATTGATTAAGAGCTTATATTGCCAGGCACTGTGCTGAATGCTGAGGATACAAAGAAAGGCAAATCTAGCCCCTGCCCTCCAGAAGCTCTCACTTTAATGAACTGGGCACATCTGAGATGCCTACAGCCTGGATGGAAGTTGCTGCTGAAGGAGGGGACTGGAAATGAGTCAGGAAGGAAGCCGGGGAGATGACGAGGGATACTCCAGACTTGAGGTGCAAGGACATGGAGGGGGGAGGAGTGACGGGTGCGTGGAACAGCAAAGGGGCCAAGATGGCTGGACAGTGAGCATGTGGAGGTGAGCAGTGTGTGGGAAGGCTGGTGGGAGGAAGGGGCCAGGGTGAGAAGGCCTTTCCATGCCAGAGAACTTTGTCTTTGATTCTGGAGGTAAGAGGGGGACAAGTGGTGTTTATTGAGGCAGACAGGGAGTGCCATGGGGCATAGAGCCCTGGGCCTGGGCCAGGAAGCCCTGAGTTCAAATCCAGTCTCAGATACTTCCTAGCTGTGTGACCCCGGGCAGGTCACTTCACCTCTGCCCGCTTCAGTCTCCTCATCTATAAAATGGGGATAATCATGGCATCTCCCTCCCAGGGTTGTTGTGAAAATAAAATATCTGTACATCACTTTGCAAACCTTAAAGCGCTATCTACATGCTGGCTGTTGTTCTGAAATCAAATCTCCTCTTTGAGGCTCCATCTGAATGCCCCTCCGGGCCACTGTCCCCTTCTACCATCCTGTGGCACTCACGTGCTAATGGGCTGCACAGTTAGCTTTCTTCCATCTACAGGTTCTCTTCTCAATTGGATTGTAAGCTCTGGAATAAGAACTGTTACTTGGACTTCACTGAGTACTTCACACCTAGCACAATGTGTTTGTGAAGGATTATACCTGAGAACCTTCTTCTTACCATGGAGGTTGTGATTTATAACAAGTGGAAATACCCTCTGAAGAGCAGGACAAGACACCCTGAGACACTCTTTCTTCCTTGTCATATGTCACTAGTGGATGACGTTTGGATAGAGGTACAAGAATGGTGAGTATTATGAAGTGCAAATGACATCCCAGTTAAGGTTCTATCCCCTGTTCTTTATTTAAAGGAACTGTCCCCTGTAGCTGCCCAACTGTAATGATTAGGATTTAAATTGAGTAGAATGTTTTGTTTTATTTGAGGGGCTGGAGGATCCAGACCTGTGGGGGACTTCCAATGTGTAAACTCCCTTCACTGATACAGGTCAGCAACTTATCTGTAACTTATATAGACTTAGTAAGAGCCTAGGGCACTGTAAGTGAAGATAATTTGCCCATGGTCACACTGAACCCAGGTCTTTCTGATTCTATCCATTACTTCATGTTGCCTCCTTGCTAGTAATTTGGATCTTTATTACCTTTTTCTCACTTCCATAAAGAAAATAAAGTTCTTCTGTGCACACACATTTCTAATGTCCCAAGTCTACATTGTCCTCCACCTTCTCTAAAGTTATCATTCAACTATTATAAGGTAATAGTGGAGAAAATTATGTGCTTTGCCTCCTCTCTCCCCCCAACCCTACTTTTTTTGGGTGGGCATGTCCAACATGACTAGCACACCTGGGTGGTGCAGTGGATAGAGCACCTTGTGCTTAGAGTCAAGAAGACATCTTCCTGAGTTCACATATGGCCTCACACACTTCCTAGCTGTGCGACCTTGGGCAAGTCACTTGACCCTATTTGCCTCAGTTCCCTCATCTGTAAAATGAGCTGGAAAAGGAAATGGCAAGCCAACCACTCCAGTATC